GCAGAGAGATCAACAAAGATGTAAGATGGAGATCAAGTTAGATTGTCCTGTAGTTTGAAGGTGAAAGAAATTAAAAACAATAGTGATGCGGCGTCGTTTGCAAGGGGGTGCAGGGATTTCATCCTAGACTAGAGTCTAGGTAAAAATTTGTAGGGCTAGTGTAGTTAGAATTGGGTTAGGAGTTTGGGCTAGGGTTGACAGTTAAGTCACAATTAACCCATATAGTGAATTGTGAAGCAAGCATCCAAAAATCCCTAACCTTATTCTCTCTCACTCACATGCCTCTCTCTCCCCTCCTCCATGTCCGTACTGTACGGATGGCTGGCCAAGGTGGTGCTCATGGTGGTGTGGTGGTTCTTGGCTTGTTCGTTCCTCTCCTCTCCTTAGAAGGTTGATTGAAAGTTTTCGATCACAACTAACTAGAATTAGTGGATGTTCAATTTGTGCCCGTGGACCAAATAGAGGAATCACGTTTGGGGTTCTAAATCTCCTTATTTTTCTTGCTCGATCACTCATGGAACACACTTCAAAGGTATAATTATGCGTTCTTTATGTTATATGCTTGTACATGTTGTTTAGATGCTTATGAATATGTTTCATGAAAACTCTACACTCTTTCCCTTCCCCTAGTGCCGGCTTTCTCCTTCCTCGTCGATTCCCTCATATTTCCTACCTAATTTCATCTCTTTCCCCGATTCCCTCTCCTTCCATTCCCAATATTACCGCCGTGAACCGAACTCCACCAATTCCCTCTCCTTTCTAGATTTTTGCGATTCCCTCTCCTTCCCCTAATTCCCATCCCAGCCGCACTAAACTGAACTCCGCTGCCGCTCATGGTAATGCCAAGATTAGTTTAATTTCTCCTTATTCTTCTCCTGGGTATTTGGATAATAAAATTAGGGGGATAGATTATTCAAATATAATGCTCTGGGTTCCATCCGCATCAATCAAGGTTTCTTAAGGTTTTATGGGTGGTGAGGTCATTGTCAGTGCCTGACAGGATAAAGTTGTATCACCTAATCAAAAGAATTACCTAAGTCCTCTAACAATAGCAGATAGGGAAGTAGGGTCGAATCCACATGGCAACAAGTCTTTCTATTCCTAATTAATTATTATAATATAAACCTAGTAAGTAACCAAATTGTTGTTAAGGGAATTAAACTAAGGAGAAAAGTTAAACTAAAGCAAATTAAGTTAGGGAGAAATCAATATATAAGTCAAAGCCTTTTTTAGGGTATAGGTTCACTAATAAATAATATTCCAGGGCGAGGGCCTACCCGGTCCGACGAGCTCTTCGGGCAACCAAGGATCTTCGATTGGGCCATATAGTTGGCCCAATCTGGATTCCCTCTTTGGGGCCTTGAATACTTGGTCTATTGCCTCGAATTGTTCTTCGTCGAGCTCTTAACGCATATTAGTAATAAAATTGGCTCCAAAGAGCCAAAAATACTCCTAAATATGACCAAGGGACGGGGGTCGGTAAAGCACTATATAAATGGACATAGCAGCCCCGGGTTGTGGGTAGGTAAGGGTTGGGCTGGTTGGGGGAGGGCCGGGGGAAGAAGTGGGTGGGTTTTTTTTTTATTTTTAAAAAGGGGTATTTTAGACATTTCTTTTTTACCTCCGTTTAAATTATTATCCATGGTTAATGTTAGTTAAAATACTTAACTAATGTTACCACTGAATTAGTTTTACAAATTATGATTGCCGAAGATAATTTGATATTTTAGTATTTACCGTTGAGAAAAAAAGAAAACTGGAGAGTACCATTGAGAATTTCCCAAAATATTAAGATAATTTATCTTATATATATAAAAAAAAAATCTACAACCGAAACAAGCAAAAAAAAATAGAACAATAAGAACTACTCTAAATAAATATATTTTTTTTCCTTTGCTTTAAATAAATAAGAAAAGAAAGATAACTGTTAAAAAAATTAAAAACAACAAGTAGAGTCATTGTAAATTAGTGATATTTTACCCTTTAAATTTATAAATCAATTCAACTAAAGTTTATTGTTCCAAAGAGAAAATGACCACTAAAAAACTTTTTTTATATATTAAGATCAGAAAATTTTCTAATTCCCTTGAATCTTCATTCGTTAAGCTATAAAATAGATTGTTTGTTTTCAACTAAAAACGGATTCCAACTCAATTTAAAATTTGTCAACAAACTACAAAAATAGAGATAATCTATATAAACGTATCTCGTCTATTATATTTGAATAACGTAAATAGATTATTTTTTTTATTGGGGACGTAAATAAATGTTTAAATATATACAAAACCTATAAACAAATACAAGCTTAGCGTAATTTATAAAAATATTCTCATTTGAATATCTGAGCGTTGCTTTGGCAAAGAATAGAGATTTTTTTTTTTTTATTTTAGACAATTATCATTTCAAATGAGAATATTTATTATTTTTATTTTAGACAATTATTATTTCAAATAGTTGACACGTTAAATTTTTATTTTTTTTTACTAGTTACGGTAACTTTGATCATAGATTTTTAATAAGGTGAAATAAATTTAATTACTTCATCTGCTACATATTAGTTGCAAGTTTGGAATATTTATGTATCACAAATAATACCCCAAAGTCACAAATAATATGTAACAGGGGGGGAGGAATGATATATGTTGTTGAATAGGTATTAATGAAAAATTTTGTAATATATATCAACCTTGTAAATTTAACTTCAAATTAATTGGTTGTCTTCACCTTTTGGGGTTTGGTTGGCTAATTTTATTTTTCGTTACTCTTCGTCTAGTTTGGAAAACAAGGTTATGGCTTTATTTGCTATTCTTTGGGCTATTTGACTTTCTAGGAACCAGCTGACGAGGTTTAGGCAAGCAGTCTGGTCGCTTGGTACAATTGAGAGTCTGGCTAAGGACTGGTATTATCAGTGTGTTCAGCTCTGGAGCTGAAGAACTCTTCAATTTGTTCTTGTTCGGCTGCTGGTCCGGGTTTGTCGGCTGTCCCGTGGCTTTGCTTGTAGGGGTTACCTAATATATTTCCCACATTGTGGTTGATTGTGGATAGGGCTTGGGATAATTCTACATATAGAGCAGGGGCAGGCTGGGTTATCCGTGACCTTTGCTCGTCGAAGGTCCTAAGTGGTGGGAGGTTGGCTTTTATGGCGAGTTCTGCTTTACATTTTGAGTTACAGGCTTGTTTCTGGGGGGTTCAGTTTGCAGTGCGAAAGGGTTTCTTGAAGATCCGGATTCATACGGATTGTGCTGCTGTCCTTTCTTTTCTCTCGTCTCGAGGGTCTTTAGACATTTCGATTTGGTAGCTCATTCTAGACTTGCGAAACGTCGTTCGTTCCCTGTAGGCGTGTCTGTTGAAGCATAAAAGTTTTGATGATGAGGAACTTAAACTAAAGAAAACTTGACTAATAAAGGTTTTCAAGTGTTTGATTAGTTTAGGTGAAGTTTGATCATGGTGATGAAAGAAGTAGCTGAAACTAAGAAGACACGAAGAAGTCTTTATCAAAGAAGTTAAACAAATTAGAAGAAGAGTTCTCTAACAAGAACTGAGTTCCCTAACAGGAACGTTCCCTAACAGGAACTTGAAGACAACAAGCTGAGGTTCTTTGGAGGAACTCAACCAGCTTGGAGCCCAAGTAATTTGCCTGAACAAAAGCGCGGCGCAGCTATTAATTTGTTTAAGATTTTATCTTTCTAGATTATTGTTAATATGTTAAGTAGGTTATTGCACGGAGTTTATTAGAAGTGTGACAAGTTAAGCTTGGTAAATAAATAAAACGGAAAATAATAAAAGATAGATTTTAGAAAAAGATTTTCTAAACGATTTATTTTCTTTAAATCAGTTTGTTAAAAAGATAATTCTTTTTAACAAAATATCTTTTTATCTTTATTTTCCAGAAAAGATTTTATTCATGTGATTTACATAAAACCGTGTTTAAAGATAAGTTAATTTAACTTATTTATCTTTTAGAAAACCTACTTTCTGTACGAGTGTGACTTGTATAAATAGTAGAGAGCAAAATGGTTTTAGGTTTTTGTGAGTTTATGCGTGAAAAAATCAATGTGCGTAATTGAGTAAGTTTACCAAGCTTCTAACTTGTCATATTAGTTTCGGATTTCGTGCATTGCTTGCCTGACATACTAGGTGTCGAATTCTTGTGTTGGGTTGGGTTATTTGGGTGTGTTTATTGTTTTTATCGTACACATTTTTGTAAGCTTCTTGGTGAGGCTGAGTGTTTGTACTTTGGTAGTACGAGTAGTACTTTGGTGGTACGAGTGAATCTAGGTGTAGTGCTTAGATTGGGTAGGAAAGGGTCCTATCAAGTAGCAAGTCCAGTGAGAAACTTGTGAAATAAAGGTTTGTGTCTAATAGGTTGTAACTTGGTGTTTGCCCTATTATAGTGGAGTTTGTGTGTTTAAAATCCCTCAGGCAGGGTCGAGGTTTTACTTCCAGTTGGGCCCTGGAAGATTTCCTTGTAAAATCTGTGTGTGCTTTTAAGTTCCTATATGCATTCTTTTATAATCCGCAAAAAGTAGTCATTAGGAACTCGATACAATTCACCTACCCTCTTGTATTAATCGTCTCAACTAACAGTATCAGATTCGGAAAGTTTCTCGGGATTGGGTTTCACCAACTCACTGGTTGGCTGGGTGTGCTCGTCGTAGGCAATTGTTGTAATTTCAATATAATCTTTCTTTCATAGATCTATTGTCAAAAAAAATAAATAAATAAAAATTAAAAAAACTTCAAATTAAGTCATTGACATGTGTAAAAAGTTTTACCGTATCAATGATTTTGGACGGATAGAGTATTATAGACAAGGATATCTTTCTTGTTGACGACTTGACGTTAAAAAACGCAGCCAAGTTGAGCAATAATACAACTTGGACAGTACTCGTGTGACTTGCACATCCTTTTACCCAATAAATCAGTTCCATACTAATTTAAATATTTCCTCATTTGTTTTATTTACTCTTATTATTAATTATTGCCTTCTCTAGGCTCTAGTAGTCACTTCTTTATCTTCGGTTATCAGCAGTCTCTGTTTTCTCTATAAATAAACAAACCTCTGCACCTTTTATCCCCCTCTTTCTCTTCATATCTACTTCAGCAAACCCAACCTTAAAAAAAAGTAGTTGAATGTTGAAGATTAGGTGTTGAACATAATGTGTGGTGGCGCTATTATCTCCGACCTTATCGCCGCCAAGCGCGGCCGTAATCTTACCACTCACGATCTCTGGTCCGAGCTCGATGCCGACCTTCTTACCTCTTTTCCTCCTAAATCCAACTCATCGTGCTCTTCTCAACCAGCTCTTACCCCTCAACAAGGTAAGGCTTTTTTTTTTTTTTTTTTTTTCTTTTTCATCGAGTTTATATTGTTTTTTAGTTTAACTTATGTTTTGTAAACATAAAATTAAAATATCTATAAACAAAAGTAGGAAAGAAATTAGAGGATTATAATGAGCTATAGTAGTTAATAAAGATAGTTTGTATTGCACCCAAAAAATAAATAAATAAATAAATAATAATAAATAGTTTGTGAGTTTCATTAAAAAATTACTCCGTATGTGTTAATGGATGTTATTTTATGTCTTATGTTATACGGATTTAATAATCTATCCTATTTCTATTTCGTTTGTATTGGTAGTTAGATTAATTTTGTGTTAAAAAATTCAAACATTGTTATTGTTGTATAAAGCATTATACAGCTTAAGTGTAATGTTATTAGCTTCATATAATCATTTTTTTTTCACTAATCCAGGTCAGGAAGATCTGTGAGAGGTTTTAGCCGGTAGGGACCTCCTTAAAAAAAAAAAAAAAAAAAAAAAAAAAAAAAAAAAAAAAAACTATATTTGTAAAATGCTATCACGTATAAATTTGAGAATTTTATGAAAAAATCACATAATTGGATTGATTAATGATTCCGTATAATTTTTAGAATTTGTAAGAAAAGTACACCTAGATTGGTGTTATTAATGTTACTTATTTTTAGTATTTAATTTTTTAGCTCGTATATGTAGTACTTCATATATTTTTCTATTTAAATACCCTTAAAATAATTCGTTCTAGGTGCAAATTACACAAGAATTAAGTTAAATAAACATTTTTTATGTGTAATTTTTTTTTTTGGCGAAAAAAATATACTCGTGTTGCTCTAAAAGAATGTTCCATTTAGTCAAATTTTAGTTCCAAAATGTCTATCCTATTTTTGCATAAAATAGCCTCCTATTTGCAATGATATTTGTGTAAATTACCTTTCTCCTGTAAAAAAAAATTTTCCACATAATTATACTACTTTTTCTCTCTACTTTTTTACAAACCTAATATAAATTTATTTTTTCAATATATTTTTATTAGCTTTTCCTACATTTATACTTCTAAATTAAATTTCTTAATACCCGTAAAAACTCCCCAAAAAATCGTTTTAGGGATGGAGGGATTATATTATTTCAACATTATGTCGACACAACTTTGGACAACCGAGATAAATTGAATAATAATTGATAAACAGTAAATGCCATTGAGTTGATAAGATAAATAAAATACATTATCATTATTTGTTCTTTGTTTTTTTTTTACAACAAACAAAAAGAGAGCACCTTAATATGTTTGATTCTTGTTCATGCATTGATGCATGAACTTCAATTCGTGTCAGAAGATAGCAGAATTAAGGAATCAACAAAATATTTGATCAACTAATACTCCGGATTACTTATATAAATAAATGAAGTCATATTATAGAAATGGACGAATTTAATTTATTAATAAGAATCTAATATGATATAAGATGTTGTCATGTTCGTAATAATTTTGTCTTGAATTCGTTAGGTTCGCCGTATGCCGATGGGGTGAACGCTCATCAAGAGGATGTCAACCGAGAGGAGCGAGTTGCAAACCCGAGTCAAATTCGGCGAACTCGGAAGAATGTATACCGAGGTATAAGGCGGCGTCCGTGGGGAAAATGGGCGGCCGAGATCCGAGACCCACGGAAAGGCGTTCGGGTCTGGCTCGGCACCTTCAACTCCCCTGAAGATGCTGCCCGTGCCTATGATGTCGCGGCGAAGAAGATTCGCGGCGACAAGGCCAAGCTCAACTTCCCAGACACCCCACCACCACCACCGTCTCCATCGCTGACGGCACCGTTGGAGATCTTCCTACCTGCTGCAAAGAGGCAGTGCAGGTCGGATTTCACCGAGTCGTCAACCCTTAGCATTGAGTCGGCTCAGCTGAGTAGCGAGTCGACCCAGATGCCAGTGATGAGTATGGGATTCTACGGAGATGGGGTGGACCATCTTACTTCAGAAGAGGGTTTTGTGAATAGGGTGAATCATAATGAGCTGAGTCAGCAAATATTAGACCTTGAATCTTTACTTGGTTTGGACCACGGGGCTGAACTCGCTGAGTCGGACTCAACGAGTTTGCCCTGGGTCATGGACGAGTTTCCTATGATAAATGGTTATGATCAATTTAACTATAAGTTTGTTTTTTAATTTAGATGCTACTTTACTTTTATTAATGTGACGTATAGACGGGTTAATGTAATGTTTAAGACCTTTTACTTTGATACTTTCTACATGGTACATAAAGTTAGTACAGTATCTTGTGATAGTTGCTACTTTACCCAAATTAAACTACTTATAATACTCTTTTGTTCAAAATTAATTATTACGTTAGTAATCAAAATTATACTAATAACGGCATCATATATTCTGGACCATTCACGGGAGTGTATAAAATATGAACTCTGAATTGAAGGTTAGCGTTAGTGCTAAATAAAAATAGTGAAATCTGCATGTTTCAGTAATTCTGTTTGGAGTAATTGGATGCATGTGTAAAGATATGTACTCCGTATTACGGTGTTGCTTAAAAAAAAATAGGGTGCAGTTATCAAATTGTGTTTGATTTTGTTTTGAGTTAATTGAAGCAAGCGGCTTTTGTCAGTTCGTACACCTGTCCTCACACTAATGATGGTTGGCTGGCTAACATAGTTCACAAGTCTTATCTTTATTTTATTTTTTTTAAAAAAAAAAAAAAAAAAAACTTTGAAAATTTTTGAGCTTATCATGCTTTTAATTTTACAAAATAAAAACTAAAAATACTCCGTAAAATGCGAAATATTATTTTGTCAACTAAAATTTGAGTTATTAACTTTTTTTTCATTGTTGTATTAGTTTTTGCATGTACAATGAATCCATCCTTTGATGACAGATGACTTGACTTTGTTTTCATAGCAATATCGAAGAGATTGGTTGGAGTCTATAGGCGGACAATCTCTTTATTATAAGTTTCTTTATTTTTGTTTTTTTTTTTTTTGGTTGGAATAATACAAGCCGTACATCCAGTGGCGGACCCAGGATTTTCCACCTAGGGGAACGGACTAAAGGTGGCGTACATTCTACGAATGGATTAACCTTTTAAACATATAAAAATTGTACGGACTATGCTTAATACTTATAAGTTTTACAACCCGGAAATCCAAATTTCTTAGTTATACAGTCCAAAAAGTGGAAAAAAAAAAAAGCATATTTACATTACAACTTCACCTTCAAATCTTCATTTTATTTTTTTGAAAGCGATATACAATCAAATTTATCAAATAATTCATAAATGTGATTTCTAATTCACGATAATCCTAACAAATAAACAATTTCTTATTCAAATTTGGTCAATAGCGGATCCTTAGGTTCAAAGTTTTTAAACCCGTGACAATTTAATTTATATTAAGATATATAATAATATCAAACACCTTTACCCGAAATCCCTACTATAACCAATAATTTGGGGTTGTAATGTATGCATTAATAAAAAAAAAAAAATTATGTAAATACTATGGTAATTTAGAAGTTAGAACATGATGCCATTAAAGTAGTACTATGTGTTACTTCTAATTGAATGTGTGAAGTAAAAAAAAATTACTATGGTAATTTAGAAGTTAGAATATGATGCCATTAAAGTAGTACTATGTGTTACTTCTCTACGTACTCCAGGATCCGCCGACCCATATCGATGTACAAAATTATTCTTTTTTTTTTTTTTATGAATTATTGTACAAAATTATAAAATAAAGGAAATTTTGTGTAGAACTACCCTAAAGATAGGGTCATTTGTGAACAACTATCCATTTTTTTTATTTGTTTAGAACTACCCACAAGTTTGAAAACGTTTGAGTAGCACTATCCATGAACATTTTCCGTCCAATTAAGACGTTATCGGAGCCCACTTTTTTCACTTTTGCCACCTAATTAACTCTCCGAGTTTGTTTAAAGGTTTTAATTCACCTTAATTAACCTAATTAGGATTTTAATTAGAATTCATTTTAGGGTTCGTGAGTTTTAAATTATTTGGGAATTTTGATTTCTAAGGTTTGGGGGTTTAATTGAATTGGGGTTTTGGCTTATTTTAGCATTAATTGGCCATTGTAATTGATAAAAGTGAAAAATTGGGCCAATATAACATTTTAATTAGACAGAAAACGTTAGTGGGTAGTGCTACCCAAACGTTTCCAAACTTGTGGGTAGTTCTAAACAAATAAAAAAAATGGATAGTTGTTCACAAATGACCCTATTTTTAGGGTAGTTTTCCACAAAATTTCCTAAAATAAAAAATAAAGTTAATATTTGTTCACTAAAGTCCCAACTTACAATGTTACAAGATTACAACTATTGAAAATGCTCTCGCTCCATAATTATTTCGATGCAGTGCGAAATCAACATCACTACGATCATAACGTACAAGAAATAAACATTAGTTAAGATCACGAAATAATATATACGTGATAGTACTTAATTGACAATTGACATACAACTGAATTTACACAATTTGCGCAATTGCTCAATTTTATATTAATAGAACTTCCTTTAATCAGGTTGTTATAAAGGGGACAAAATTGGTGACCCAACATATAAAAAAAATAAGGAAAATAAAAATCATGTATATAAGTATATTAGCTTATGGAAAGATGCATGAACCAAATGATTGAAATTTTTGTAGTGGAGCTTTCAACATCAGCTTTCAACATCAGCAACTAGTCCATATATTACGATAATTCGTCATGTATTAGTAGTATAGTACTCAATCATTCATATTATTGATTATTTTGTTAAAAAAAAAAAAATTATTGATTATTTTTCTTCACATCTTTTATTCTGTAATTGAAAGAGATCAAATTTTTGGGCAAATAATCGTTGATTGTTAGATTCTTAATAAGCATATGTCAATAAACAAAAAATAATTAAAGATGTTAACGTTTTCAATCCTATTGTTGTAGTTGGTGAAAGATCTAATACATTGTAGTCATGCTGTTTTGATTACATTTGAAAAATTAACAACGGAATTCAATGTCTGTTTTTAATGTAGTAATTCATCTGTTTTTAAATATTAGTTATACTTATGTTTACACTTAGTTTAATACTTGGTAATACATTGTGGCCTTTGTGGGTAATAGATGGAAACTACTCCCTCCGTCCCAAAAAGAACGACCTATTTGGCCAAAACTTTGTCCCAAAAAGAATGACCCATTTGCATTAAAACACCTACCAATTTGCTACAATATTTGTGCAAAATTAGCTTCCCCATAAAAAAATTTAATTTTTCATGTTATTTTATTACTTTCTCTCTCTATTTTTTTACAAACCCCATGTAAATTTATCTTTCCAATATGCTTTTACTTCTTTTTACTTAAGTTCCTTAATACCCACGTAATCAACTCAAATGGGTCGTTTTTTTTGGGACGAAGGGAGTAATAAATTACTGCACAAATGGAGTTAAAAAGAGATATTTGATGTTTGTGGGAGAGTCCGATAGTGCAACAATAAAGAATTAATTCACATGGTATTAATAAAAGAGCTAAACAATATTTTTTTCAGAAAAAAAAAAAAAAAAAAAAAAAAAAAAAAAAAAAAAAAAAAGCTAAACAACAATAAATTAGTGTAGATGTGTTTGTGAAAAAGATGTAAATTGTAAATACTACAGCGAAATTAGCACAGTATATTTGAGCATGGATATTTAGAAAGAAAAACAATCGGAAATGTGGAAATTTTATGAAAAAAAGGGCTTTTTAAAGTTGTGGTTAACTTACTCTTTTTTTTTCCTAAAGAGAAAATGGTGCAATATTTGTAAAACTTCCTAAAAAGACAAGTGGTGCAATAATAAAATAACGGAGGAAGTAAAAGATATGAAATATTTTTTTGGACAAATTGTAAATTGTAAGTATTCAATTATGGACAAACTGTCCATCGATTAATAAAGGCACTATTCTTTTTCCCTCTTATAAAAACTACCCACATAAAGATAAATAAAATAAAATAAATATAAATATAACAAATAGATCAATAAATAAAAGGTCTACCATTTAATCAGAGGATACAGCAATGGGTATGAAGTTGGATAAAGGGATAAAAATACCAACTATTACATACTAACTTCATACAAATGTCGGTGCTACCAAGTTTCTAGTTTAGGTTTTCAACTATGTAAATAACAGAAGCTATTACGACTCTACAATGAAACTCTAATGTAGCGGAGATTTACAAGCTGACAAAAACGGGTATTGCATATGAGGATGGCATGTACAATTCAGTTTACATGCTGGATGCTTGAGGCATTAGTATGGCTGAATCACTTGTACCAAAATTTCGTAGTTGAATGGAACAGAAGAATCAACACCTTGCCTCCGCAAACCACTACAGAAAATTCAACTACATGGAGCAACCTGGAATAACAAGCCGGCTTAATAAAAGACGAACTTGAATTCCCTTTTCAATCTCAATGTAGCTTCTAATTTGTTTAAACTTCAGCTTCGCAGTGGTTACTCGTCTTCTGGCTTTAGTCTTAGGTGAGCTCACAATTTTGGTCCATTTGAGGTGAATCCAGATGGATTGATTTATCCTAATTAGCAGCTATGCTAGTTGATGTTTATGCTGTAACACTATTACACAAAAAAGAGCAGAAGCCACATGCTAATGAAGGGTATGGATATAAAAAAAAATATATATATATATATATATATAAAAAAAAATAAAAATAAAAATCAAGTGGATACCTGAAATATGTATAGTATACACATGATCACAAGCCATACCGCCTTAGAACTTTACTCAAAGTTGGCATCACATTGTAGGCCTGGTAGGACCTTCTCAGATCAATAATAGAACCCACCTACATCACAATAGTAGCTACATATTAAAACTTGTGGAAATATCCAAAAATGTACTGATGCATGAAAAATTGCAAACTATGAACACTACTCCCTCCCTTCCCTTTTGTTCTTTACGTTTCCATTAAAGGTGTTCCTTTTTATTCTTTACATTTAGTATATTTCCTTTTATAGTTGTAAATTTTAGACAAAATTACCCTTGCTTTACAATTTAAATACTCAAATATCCTTACTTTGTCATGTGCATTTGTACTTTTAATTTTATTTTAATGGTTTTCTAATACTCATTATTATTTTCTCTCTCCTCTCTCTTCTTTTTCCTTCTTACTTTCTTCACCCCACATGTACAATATTCTTTTCTAAAGTAAAATTGTACTTTCAATCATTGAATTATTCCAATATTCCTCTACTTTTACGCAATTTCTTAATAACCGCGCATAATTCCAAACGTTAA